CACATTGGTTCAATGAGTCAATTGATTAAGTGTTAAATGTTAGAAGGATATAATATCAACTGTTTTTTTATATTGTAACAATAGAAGACAAGACACGGAAGCCAAAGTATATTCAAATAATCATACCACTGTTTATATATCTGCAGTTTATATTCGTCAACCAAACACCGAGCTTGTGATTCTGGTTTACATCAAACAACATGACATAGAATGTTCAAGTATATATAGTATTCTGTTGTTAATGCACTATATAACCGTGGGAAATGTATTCTGTCTGTAACATTAAATAGAATGTTCAAATCAATATATTGTATGCAGTATTGAACTGTGGGAATATGTGAGCATGATATTCCGTCGGCAGACATTGTCTGTATCACACCATCACAATATGAATATTTCATAATTATGAAAATATGTGTATCAATACCTGTAAATGTATAATGGCTTTATAATAGAATAGGCGTAAGTATAATTTCAGTGTATTCTATTCCTGGTGTACACGTACCCATTGATTAAAAATTTATCTTAGCTAGTTTCAATTTCAACAACAAAAAATGTCAATTTATAGACTTTTGCACAAAAATAACCAAAATTAAATGAGCGAATTAGGTAACAGTAACTGCTTAATACAATGTTTTTATCAACAGTTAGTTTAAGCCACGTAGGAAGGTGTAGACTGCCTGACTGACTGGTTGGAGTCCTCGGGACGGTAAAAACCAATGGCTGGTGAAGATGCATCCACTCCTTGTGACTTACAATATCCAATGAAACCATATTGATCTTCGATACTACAATTCTTTTCGCCTCATATCTCTGTTTACTGTCTCTATTTTACATTTCTTTTTACTTTCTTCTTGTGTGTGCGTCGGTGGCATAGCGGTTAGGACGCTCGCCGACCATGCACATGGTCCGGGGTTCGATCCCCGGCCGACGCACTTTCTTGCTTTGTGTGCTACAAGGAGGCAGTGTGGTGACTCGATTTGCTGCACATCGGTGCAAAGTTCTATGTTGAAACCAGTCAGTCAGTATATTGTAACTTATTCGAATGTTAATGTCTTTATCTTCTTCATTTGATAACTGCATTGGAGATTTATTCATTGAATTAGGCACTTGACTTTCAGTCAGTGTTTCTTGGATTCAAATCTGGCTTTATTTATTTCAGCCTGAGAAAATATGTAGTATCGTCAGCTGTTGTCATACCATAAATATGGCTCATAACCCTGTAAATAAAAAAATCTGTTCTGAACCTCATCAATTTAAAATACTTAATCCTTTAAATAATCACATTAGAAAAATGCGACGCATTTGTGCAGTAGATTTCGAACAACCTGTCAAGTCAATTTATATGAAAAATGAAAAACAAAAGAGGAAGACCAATTAAAATAAATAAAATGGTATTATCATTATTATCTCCCATCTTAGAAATGCTTATCTGATTGTATTACCAAAAATAGTGTCAATTATTATCCTTCTCATTCCTAAATCTTTAATCATCTTACTTATTGTAATTATCCTTTCATTTTACTATTTAAAAGAAAAATATAAATTCATCCGATAAATAGATGAGCGAAGTATCGGTTTATAGGGACTTTGTTTGATTGGTTGGAGGACTTCATCATGAGCTGACATCGGTGAGGACAGTTGCTCATCGAAGACACTGCGAAGTGGTCGCACTATGTCGTGAATTGGCAGAATTTGGAATTCATACGCCATTGGATTGGGTCCCAGTGGCTGCTGAATGGTCTACGAGCTCGCCTTGTAACCAGAAGGTTCTGGGTTCGAACGTTGGTGGTGTGTGCGTACCGCTAAAGAGTCCCAAACTAGGCTGACGAAACAACTGGCTGTCCAGTACTCCCTGAGGGCTTTCCAATCGTTCTCTAACTGATGTCAGCTCGTGATGAAATCCCCCAACCAAGTAAATGAAGTGATCAGATTATTCAAAATGTATTGTCCACGTACATCACAATTTTCAGGTAAACTTCATCTCCTAGTGTATCTAGAATAGTCATGGATGATAGATAAATCCCGAACAGTGTTTTTATGAAAAATTATATATACTACTTATTGTAGATATTTTGATTGAACAATTAGCAGTAACTAGTGTCACGTGTCTAGTCCCTTATTCGGTACAGACTACATCCTTTCAGTCAAGTTTACAGTGTAGCCACCAAGCTAGGTGACTTGCCATCAGTCTGCACCAAACAAAGGATTAGATGCGTGACACTAGTTAGTACTTAGTGTCCAATCAAAACATCGAGTAATGTCCTACAGACGATCAGTCGTAAGCCCGAACAACTCAGTGGTGCTGTCTTTGACTGCAGCACTAGGTGACACGGGTTCGAGTTTCAGGAGGGGTATCAGTTCTTCCAGGGCTGGAGATACTCCCTGCTGACAGGTGAGTGCCAACAACAACGAGACCTAGGTCCAAGACTTCCTGCCGAACGCCTCCAACCATCCAGTAACTTATTGTAGATATCTACATACTTCGTCATACATTTATTCATTAGTAAAAATATAAACAGCAAAAGACTTTTTTGTGAAGTACTATTAAAAATGACTCTGAAATATCTATTTAATCTAAATATAAGCAAATCGGAAGAAGAAGTTTATAAAAAATTCTCGGTAAGAATACTATTACTCACTGGGGCACAGAAACATCCAGGTTTTATTTATTCATTTATTTTGTTCCTTCACGTTCCCAGTGGAACATAGGGCTTCAAGCTAGAGCTTTGAGTTTTGGTAGCATTGGTTTTTAATTTTATGGAGAGGAGTTACTAGCCTCATACCCAGCCTTCCCTCTTTACCAGTCTTATTGCCAGCTTAGCGAGGTTTAGGAGTGTGTTAGCCGAGGTTTGACGTGGTTGGCGAGCGTTCTACTGCCGAACCACCGACGCGCTTCAGATACGTCCATTTGACAAGTTCTGAATAGGACAAATAGCCAGCTCTGATCTTCACCACCTGCCATCACTAATCAAGTACCTTTTTTTTAAAAAATCATGACACTATCGAGGCATATTTTTTAGGAGACCCCATGTTAAAATGAAACTGATTAATTTTGTTCAGAAGTTAAACAAAAATAAAGAATATTATCAAGATAAGTTAAGTGTAACGATAAACTGTTTTCGCACACATACAAAGGGAGACTAATTACACGATTGGCTATCGCTTCAGAGTATCATTATTATTTAAGAACACAATATTCAGCGAAGAGACTCTTTTCAACGAATTTATTATCAAGCTGTACAATCGTATATATATGGGTTTTAAGAAATTATATCCGGTGAGGGAATTGGATCAACGGTGTGAATACATGAAATAATAATAGTAGTATGAAGTGCAATTAAAATATTTGTGATTATAATCATAGTTAAATGTCAAATGGCAAAACAATTAATGTCATTTATAGAATAATACATAAGGTGTATAGATGTTGGAAAGGGGTGCATAATTATGGGGTTAGTAGACGAATATAAAATGTTGCATAACATGGTGTGAAATTTGATAAGATAGAATTCAATATTGTAAAAATAAAATCTATAAAAATTAATAATTTTGGGTTTAGAATGACAAGTGGGTTTGGTGGAAAAGATTCAGAGTGAGAATAATAATAATAATCGTAATAATAAGGGAAAAGTACATAGAATAACTAAATAAACAAAATAAATAAATGTCTATCCCTCTACGGCCAATGCAGAAGTAGGGATTGTACACACTTCTTTTGTACACAAAGGTCTGGCTTAAAGTCATGAATTGCCAAGGCCTCCGCTGTCTTTAGAAGTCTGTAACGAAGAAAAAGCGGGAAGTTGGCATGGATTCTATATATGATCTTGAAATCATGGTCAGGGTTGACAGAGTGACAGAAGTCAATCAGGTGTTCCAGAATAGAGCTTCGCACACACTTCTTTTCTCCCTTGTAAAACCATGCTGCTGGAATATGTTCTCGTATCCGTGTGGAAAGCGTCCTCTGACTACGGCCAATGTACCTTGCTCCACAAGAGCAGGTGAACTGATAGATGCACATGGAGGCGGCCAGACAGGGGGGGCTTATCTTTTACAGAGGTAGAGAACAACTTGCGGCTAGTGAACGTCATATGTAATTTTGCTGCAAAGAATGTCCTACTGACTGATTTAGAGAGACGATTTTTGAGCATATCTGAAGCTTGATCACCTTTGAATTCCAAGTTCATAAATAAGGTTTTCTTTGGAACTGAGTCGGTGACCAGTTTAGACTGCTTATCTTTCATGTTGCTGTCAATAAATCGGTTAGGGTAACCGTTTTCTGCGAGCGTGACTTTTAAGAAGTCAAGTTCTGAGTCAACGCAATCAGAACTACAAATTTTCCTTATCCTAAAGCAGAGCGAATGAATTAGGTTCCTTTTCCTGGAGATAGGCACCCAACTATAAAAGTCAGTTAGTTGTCCGTTCCATGTACGTTTCTGGTGGATAGATCTTTTGAGAGATCCGTCATTACGTCTACTAAGGTACACATCAAGAAAAGAGTCTCTTCGCTGAATATTGTGTTCTTAATGCTACAGTGGGAATTATTAAATCATTATTATTTCCTTGGGTTCCGAATGGAACATAGGGCTTCAACAACACATCTCCGCTTGGCTCTATTCTCTGCTATCCTCTCCAACTGGATAGCCACAAGATTGCCCATAATCTCTTATCTCCTCCGCCAACTCACTCGATCTCCTCCATGTCACCCTCACACGGACGACCCACTCGTCGCCGCTTCCCATTTGGATTCCACTCAAGTGATGGCATACATTGAGCGCGATGTCATTCGACGGCCTCCTTCTCTTCAGCGTAACCTAGTATTCATCTCTGTCAGCTTTTGTGCAAATTCTTCAAGGCTAATTCAAGATGGATTACGCAGATCCACCATATATTTCTTTTCAGATAATGTTTTTCTCCTAGTTATTCTATCCAACTCTATTAAACAGAATAATATTCTTAAGAAAATTGATTGAATTTATTATCATTATTTTTTATTTTAGATAAAATTGCAACTGGTTCCTTTGATAAAACTTCACGACTATGGAGTGCTGAAACTGGAGAATGTCATTATGTCTTTCAGGGTCATACAGCAGAAGTTGTTTGTATACAATTTAATCCAACTAGTAATTTAATCGCTACAGGTAAATTATAGAGTTGAATAATTTTATGTAATGGGCTATGATTGGAAATGCAATAAGAGTATGTGTCACTGTGGGATTCGAACCAAAAGCCTCCCTACTAACTAAGATACTAGAACTAGCGCCTAACCAGGTCATCACTAGTAATGCTGGGTTAGTAATCTGGAGATTATTTATTATTATTATTGTTTCCTTTAATTCCTAGAGGAACATAGGGCTTCAGCCGTGCGTCTCAATTGCGTTCGGTTCTCTGCTAGAGTCTTCACCTGGCTCCATGTCTGCCCACACGTTTTCATCTCCTCTTCACATGACCTCCTCCAAGTCACCCTTGCACTGACGACCAACTCGCCGCTTCCCTTTCGGGTTCCACTCGAGCAATGGCTTGTCTAGTGATGTCACTTGATGGTTTCCTCAGAGTATGGCCAATCCATCTCCATTTCTTCCTGCCTATTTGTTTCACAATCGGTTCCTGGTTGGTTCGCTCATTGCCAGAGATCTCTGTTGCTGATCTTTTCTGGCCGGCCATCTGATCTTGAGTATTGAGCGAAGACAACTGTTAATGAAGGTCTGTAGTTTGTTTGAGATGCTCTTTATGACGCATGGCCAAGTCTCTGATCCGTATAGTGAGTAGCACTGACTTCACATTGGAGTTGAAAATCCGGATCTTATTTTTGATGCTGAGTGCTGTTGACCTCCACACAGACTTGAGAGTAGTGAAAGCTTGTCTTGCTTTTCCGATTCTTGCTTTGATATCCTCGTCAGTTCCGCCTGTAGTTGAAACGATGCTTCCCAGGTCGGTTGGTGAAGGAGGTTGTTTCTTTCAGGTTCCTCCCATTTATGCTGATCGTTGTCTGTTGTTGTTGTTGTTGTCCAGGAATCTTCATTACCTCTGTTTTCTCTATGTTCACCTGAAGTCCTATCTTCTCTGGATGCTTCTTCTGCCAACTTGTTGCTTTTCGCTTGCATATCTTCCAGTTTGTGGGAAATCAGACATATATCATCGGCGAAGTCCAGATCCTCCAAGTTTTTTGTGTGAGTCCATTTTATGCCTGTTTCCTCACTGCCCGCTGTTTGTCGCATTATCCAATCTACTGCAATCAGGAAAATCATTGGCGATAGTAGGCAGCCTTGTCTTACTCCTGTCCTCACTTCGAAGGATTCCGTGAGTTTCCTGTTGTGGATTATTTGGCATGCAGCATTGTCGTACAGCTGTTGGATGAGATGTATAATTGTCGGTGGCACACCGTAGTAGCGAAGTAGTTGCCAAATCACCTCTCGATCGACGCTGTCGAAGGCCTTTTCAAAGTCGATGAAGTTGAGATAGAGAGGTGACTGCCATTCCAAGCTTTGTTCAATGATGATCCGTAATGTGGCTATCTGATCAATGCATGACTTGTTTCTCCTGAATCCAGCCTATTCCGGTCGAAGTTTTTCATCCAGGGCATGTTTGATTCTCTCCAGGATGATGCGACTTAGTATTTTGCTTGGGGTAGATAGGAGCATAATTCCGCGCCAGTTCTTGCATTGACTTAGGTCTCCTTTCTTTGTTAGTTTGAATAGGTATCCCTCTTCCAATCCTCGGGTACTTTGCCTTCTTTCCACACCTTCTTCAGTAGTGGCGTCATCAAGTCAGCTGTTGTCTCTGGGTCCGTTTTCAATGCTTCTGCTGGGATTCCATCTGGTCCTGCTGCTTTTCCAGCTTTTAGCATCTTGATTGCCTTCAGGACTTCTGATTTCGTCGGGGGGTTGGTGTTCACTGGTAGCTCTGTCTCCGTTGTTGGTATTGTTGGGCGCGTTGTCGGTGGTGGTCGATTTAGGAGTCTTTTGAAGTGTTCAGCCCAGTGTTTTCTTTGCTCCACTTCTTTGGTGAGTGACTTTCCATTGTCATCTTTCACCGGCTTAATTTGTGTCAAACTTTTGCCCGACAGGTACCTAGTTGTTTGGTAGAGTGTTGCGGGGTCTCCTTTGCCTGCAGCCTGTTCTGATTCACTTGCCATCACTTCATAATACTTTATTTTGTCTTCTCTGGCACTCTTCTTTACTCTTTTGTTCAGTGTCTTGTAGCTTGCATTCAAATCCTGTTTTTGTTGCTCGTCGGTGCACTAGAGAATCTTTTGTTTCACCATCCCTCTCTCTTTTATCAGTCTCCAAGTGTCCGTAGTGAGCCACTGTTTGTCCTGTCTCTTCTTTCTACCTAGAACTTCCATGCAGGTTTGTCTCCACACTGTCTTCAAGTTGTTCCAGTACTTTTCGACTCTGACGTCTTCGCTGGTGTTGATTTGTGTCTCGGCTTTGTCCTTTGTGCTTGCAGTGAAGATGTCCTTTGTGTCCTGGTCCTTCAGTTTTTGAGTGTTGAACTTGGCTTGTGGTCTGTCTGCAGCTCCTGATTCTCTGAAAGCTTTTAATTTGATTTGGATTGTTCCTTGTACGAGATAGTGGTCTGAGCCAATGTCTGCTCCTCTTCTTACTTTTGTGTCCAGCAGGCTGCGCCTCCACTTCCTTGAGATTGAGATGAAGTCGATTTGGTTTTTGCTTCGCCCATCTGGTGACACCCATGTAGCCTTGTGGATATCCTTGTGTTTGTATGCGCTGCCACAAATCACTAGTTCATTGAAGGCGCAGAAGTCGGCGAAGAGTTCTCCGTTTTCATTCACTTCTCCGAGAGCTTCTCTACCCATGATGAGTTCCCTTCCTGTGTTGTCTGATCCCATTTTGGCGTTCATGTCTCCCATTAGTATTTTAATATCACCAACTGGAGTATTGTCCATTGTTGCCTGTATTTGTCTGTAAAACTCTTCCTTCTTCTAGAGGTTTGCGTTGTTTGTGAGTGCATAGCATTGTATATTTGACACTTTCTTCCTTTAGAGTTGAATCTGGAGGTCATTATCCTGGGCGAGATCGCCTCCCATTGCATCAGGGCCTTGGTTGTTGTTGGTGACATCATGGTAGCCACGCCCTCGGTGTGCATGTGGTTATCCTCTAGGTGACTGGAGTAGATCACTGACTCACCCGTTGACAATTTGGTGAGTTCATTCTCGTTACATCTACTTTCACATATTCCCAGTGCTTGAATTCTGTATCGTTTTATTTCGTTTGCGATCAATCTCGTACATGGTGCGGACATTCCATGTCCCCACACAGACTTTTTCTTTTGGCGCAAGGAGATTCATCGTGCTGAAGTTTCTGTAGCAGCTTTGTTTACAGGGTGGGGTTGCTAGCCTCACACCTGAGAAGGGGATTGTTATATTGAAATATAGTTTAGAGGGAAGCGATCTTGTGGGTTGCTCCTCCTAAAACCAGGAAAACAAGGAATCAAACAATCAGAACAACACCAGCAGAGGAAAATAATTCACAACAAGAAGGGTAACAAGCGACATCAACAATAATATTATCACAGTCAAGTACAGTTAACCAAAATGATACCAAAATCATAGACTCACTGACTTGAGCCAACTTGAACATGTAAATCCATCAATATATACAATTATAGATATTAGTTAGCATTAAACAAGCACAGAGTGGCAAATAGATAGTTATAGGTATTATCCGACAACAAAGTTTATATCCAAAGATTCAGTGTTTCAAAGGCAAATAATTGCAATAGTTTTTTGCAACTTTTTGGCAAGATATTCCACAAAAGTAAGAGTTTTAGGTAACTATGAAAATGTAACGTAGTAGTCGAAAAGCGCGTCAAGCGAAAAGCACTTCTCGGCTTCTTGGCTCGCTGAGCTAAGATCATGTGTAGTATCTGGAGATTACTGGTTTGAATCTTACTTTAGTTAGTTTTTTAAAAGTATATACATGAAGTGTCGGCGTTTCAGTGTTAGATATTAGAACTACTTGAATAATAAGCAGTCAACCAAAGTTACATATTTGTTGGCATTTATAAAAGGAACTATGTTGACAACACTCAGTAACCTTATGTTGCCTAGTAGACTGAAGTCGGAAATGTTTTCACTAACTATTAAAATGAATTTGAAATGAAATTTGATGCAACTTTATGTTATGTCAGTCATTTTAGTGGCTACATTACAAAGTTTTGCTAAGTATTAACTGTGTTGACTGTTAAATTGGATACTATTTAGAGATAATAAATTGTGTACATATTTATATAATCCTATGTAATATTATGGTTGATTTCAGGTAGCATGGATACACTAGCAAAGTTATGGGATGTAGAGACTGGTAACGAGTTAGCTAGTTTAAATGGTCATACTGCTGAAGTGATTGCATTACAATTCTCTCAGTGTAATCCAATTACAACATCTGGAATGTCAAATAATGGTGATAGCGGTTTATACGCAGACTCTATATGTGGTGCAGGCAATGGACGTCTTATGCTGACTGGAAGCTTTGATCATACTGTTTGTTTATGGGATGTAAGAACTGGTGAACGAACACATCATTTAATTGGACATGCTGCTGAAGTTTCTGCTGCTTCATTTACTTATGATACCTCATTAGTGGCTACAGCATCAATGGATAAAACTGTTCGAGTAAGTATAATGATGTAGTTGTTAAAGGAAAATATACATGTATGCATAAACATGTCTAACAAATGTTCTAACGTGTCATTTCAGTCGGAATGACGCAACGCCGCCTGTACCGAAGATATGGAAAGTGGCAACAACAAAAAAAAACAAGGAGAAAAAGGAGAGAGAAATATATGTATAAGACAAATTGTCAAACTGTGTGACTAAATTCATATGATTATGAGTGACAATAATTTATGCTGGAAATGCCATGCAATTATTAAGACTGCATCGGTGTGTGATATATTTAAAACAAATTTATCCAATATAGAATTACATTGATGTTAGATGGTTGGAGGCAATCGGTCACAGAAAGCCTTCCTTCACCTAGGTTTAGTGCTAGCTGGCACTCACCAGCCAGCAGGGCGTACCTGCAGTCACCTTGAAGGAACTCATGTCCCTTCTGAGATTCGAACTCACGTCAGCCAGTGCTGAAGAAGGGACATGAATTCCTTCTAATAATAATAATATACTTTATTCCAAAAACAGTACTTGCGATACGGAATGGAATTTTCAGCATTATTCACAATATTGCATCTAATTTCCTCAAATTATAAATAAAATTAATCACACAGAAAATTTTCCACATTTACAATAGGGGTAATGTCAAAAACGTGCAGCATATAAAGTGGAAATAATAATAATGATAACAGATAAGGTAATAATAATAATAATAATACAAGTGAGAATTGCCGTGGGTTTGTTTCACACAGTATTGTCGATGCGGTATACAAATCCTAGCATGTTTAAAAATATTGAATATAATGTTCTCTTTACATGATATGGTGAGGGGAAAAACGAAGATTACAGCAGTCTTAGAGATAAGTTGGTGTTTGCAGTTATGAAAGTAAAACAAAGAATCAACAGGACCATAAATATAATAGAAATAATAAAAGTAAAACTTGAAGGTATATAAAGATGGATGGAGGAGATTGAAAGTGATTGCAGATACGCCCTGCTGACTGGTGAATGCCAACTAGAACGAAACCTAGGTGAAGCAAGGATTCCTGTGGCCAATTGCCTCCAACCATCTAATATCAACAAATCAATGTGCACCGTGATGGCGAGCTACCTAGAATGGTGGCCACATTGCAAAACCTGACTGATAGAATTCACAGTCTGCACCAAAGAAAGGACTAGAGACATCACTCTAGTTACTAGTGTCCAGTCAAAGTATGGAATTACATTCGTAATCATTTGGCTGAATGTTAACATAGTCATCTAAGCTTAATCTGAGTCAGTATCATGAAGGATTCCTAAGCTAGAATACAACCTCTGTCTATCTAGATAACATTTATGCATGACAAAATGAACTGATAGTCATCTGCTTCACTCCTCTAAACGAAAATCGAGTGTGGTGATAGCCGTGATACATTGTTTGATGAATAGTTAAAGTGATATATTGGACAGCTGTTTCGTCAGCCTAGTTCGGGACTATTCATCAGTACGTACATATTGCCAACGTTCGAACCCAGGACCTTCTGGTTACAAGGCGAGCTCGTAGACCATTCAGCAGTCACTGGGACACTATCCAATGGCCCATGAATTCTAACTTCTGCCAATTCACGACATAGTGCGACCACTTCGCAATGTCTTCTTCATATTGCGTACTGATGAAGAGTCCCAAACTAGGCTGACGAAACAGCTGTCCAGTACTCCGAAGTTTTCCAGGGGTTCTCTAACTGATGTCAGCTCATGATGAAATCCTCCAACCAATCAAACAAAATCCCTACAAACCAATACTTGAAAGTGATATATCTCAAAGACTCATCAAAGTGATCGTTAGTACGAGCTTGTTTTTATTAGTTACTTATTGATGACGTGAAATTTTGCATAGATGTTGTTCCACTTATCATACAGGTGAAATTCATTGGAGTCAAACATATGCCACAGATTATCTAGAATAGAATTCAGTGAGTGTATAACATGCGAGAGGTTTTCTTCATATTCCACAGCATTGTGTAGTTTCCGACTATCTACAAGAAAAAGGTCGACCATTCAACATAAATGTTGACATGTTTTTTAGAGAAATTCTCAGTTGTATACATTCTGCACCAATAGACTGAATTTCTTAGTAAGCTAACGTTTGACAAATGATACAAACGTGACATTACTACTTCAGTTGGTCACAATATTTCAATCACTGATAACTGCTATTGATTGAATTTCGATGATAATAATGATGATGATGATAATTCCTGGAGGTTCAGACTTAAAAAACTCTAAAAATAATGCTTTTGCATGGAAAAACAAAATATCATGCAGACTATGATAGCATGTAATTGCATATTAATTTGTTTATTAGATGTATCACACAGTGAAACAGCGCTACTTGCTGGGTGACGTTTCGAACAAAGTTTATTGTTAATAACCATGTCAATTATAACTGCATTTATAACTTCAAAACTTTCGTTTTATAGTTTTCTTTATTCCTTTCTATTGGCTGTAGAGGTAGTAGAATTTTCCAAATGTCCAACTTGACAGGTGTTGAATCATTTCTGTTGCACGTATTTTCAGTTGATTCGATAAATAAAGCTTCTGTGATCAATCTCTTCCTCCACCCTGTTATATTAGATTCTAGAAAGGTCATCTTATCTCATCCTACGTGTAACAGAAATGAATGAACACCTATCCCAAACATCTGGGAAATTCTACCACCCAACAACCAACATAAAGGAATAAAGAAAACTATAAAACGAAAGTCTTGTTGCTGCGTAATTATAATTGATACGATTATGAACACTAAACTGTATTTGAAACGTGATCCAGTAAATAATACTGTCTCATTCATTGTGTGATATATCTAATAAACAAATTAATATGGAAATCCCTACTACCACAATCCCTAAGTTTTACTGATAGGATCCCACACACTTTGTTATTGTTCAATTATTTTAACGACTGTTAATCTCGCATAAGTGGTATATTATCATTTCCCAGGCACTTTGTTATTGTTCAGTTATCTTAACGATTGTTAATCTCGCATAAGTGGTATATCATCATTTCCCACGCATTTTGATATTGACTATTACGATTATTTCAAATGCTGTTGGCTGTCTGTAATGGTTGTAAAAATGCATAAATACCATTTCCTAAATAAGTTTATTTGTCGTAGTTGTTGTACTACAATACACAGTCACAGACCAGACTTTGTCTTTTGATATTTGCGTGGTTCGTTGAATCGGAAGGTACCAGAAGCAGATAGGCATATTAGTCAGGCGCAGATAGAATAAGGCGACAACGTCCTCATTTAATTCCGCAACAGTTATAACATACACACACAAATATTAATCTTGCAGATAGATTGTAACCATTGGTTCATATAGGACAGACTTTACATGATCAAACAAACCTGTCAGTAGCATTAAATAGATAATATATAAACCGTTGTCCTGCCTTTATTCAAATTCATAAAGGGGAAAAATTATATAATGATAACTAAATTTTTATGACTAGTTGAGTGTAAAAGATGATTTCAACAAATAATAAATAAAATTGTTAAAATAGCATTTTCAAGTATTGATTTTGTCGGAATTTTGTTTGTTTCATTCGTTGGAGGATTTCATCAGTTAGAGAATCATTGGAAAACCTAGGAGTACTTGGCAGCCGTTTCATCCTAGTTTGGGACTCTTCAGCATTAGGTCGGGTCCCAGCGGCTTAGTGGTCTATTAGCTCGCCTTCTAACCAGATGGTCCTGGGTTCGAACTTTGGCGGCGAGTGCGAGCTGCTGAAAGAGTCCCAAATTAGTGTGACGAAACAGCTGTCCTGTACTCCCTGCTGCTGCTCGTGGTCTGGGGTTCAACCCCCGGCCACAGACGCACTCATCAACCTCGCCAGACTGGTAATAAGACCGTTAAAGAAGGAAGGTTGGGCGTGAGACTAGCTACCCTACCATGTAAAAATAAGCATCACTGCTACCGAAACTTCAAAGTTCTAGCTTGAAGCCCTATATTCCACTCGTAACGTAAAAGAATAAAATAAAATAGTTAAAACACGCTGCTATCTATCATAGTTACACATTGTATTTTATTTTCACTTGCAATCAGAACCATACTGCGTTTCAGGCATTGATTTACTCCCAGTGGAAAATTTCCTTGATGAAACTCGGAGTCTTCTGAACACGTACGTTTGTTTGACATGCAGTTCATCTCTGTCACAAATATAAGGTGATTTTGCAAAATCTATTTGCATCGACTTCTAGTTTATGAATAGACAATGAAATGGCTGCACATGTCGACCAATTTTACTTATTTGGGAAGTTATATTACTATTATTATTCCCTTGTGTTCCAAGTAGAACATAAGGCTTCAACAACACGTCTCCACTTTGTTCTGTTTTCTGCCCTCTTCTTCGGCTGTGTCCACGATTGACCGAACTCTCTCATCTCTGTCTCACACGATCTCCTCCATGTCACCCTCGCACCGACGACCCACTCGTCGCTTCCCATTTAGATTCCACTAGAGCAATGGTCTGGCGTGCGATGTCATTCGGTGGCTTCCTCAATGTATACCAGATCCATCTCCACTTTCTCTTACATATTTGTTGAGCGTTAGCATAATTCTGGTATTTACCAATTTGCCTCATCCTTAGTGATGTCGTGATATCCGGCCATCCATCAAAGGGCCTTGTGTGTAGTGCAGCATTTCTTTCCAGCTTACTTTACAGATGAAAAGTATCAAAAGTTTAGCAGTTTTTGATCATAGATGCTTCTTCCTAATCTCTCATGTTAGTTGAGGCCGTATAGTCAGTAACAATAATATCAGTTGTACAGATGGGAAGTCAATCGATGAGGCTACATCGACTGATAAGGTAACTAAAACATTTGTTTCATACGCCAGGCCATCTCCAATATAAGCTGACGAAAAATTAAGTGAAAAGAGCCAAGGATTATAGGACATCATGCATTTATTCCCCTTGATGAATTTAAATAAAGCAATAACAACAGTGGTTTGTGCAGAATAATA